ATCCATAGCAGCGTGGCTCAAGGAGTCATTTAAGAGGGGCAAGAAAAGAGAAATGGAGTTGTAATCAGTGTTTGTATAGACACTGTTCTCTGTGGCCAGGATCAAGAGTCCTGAAGGCTGTGTTGCCTGCCTAGTGCCTGGGTTCAGGATATCTCATCTGGGCTGCAAAGTAACCTGGAGTGGGGAGAGGAAAGATCCAGTTGTTGTGGTCCATGTAGGTACCAATGCTGTAGGCAAAAAGAGGAAAGAAGCTCTGCTGAGCAAATATGAGCAGCTAGGGGCTAAATTAGAATGTAAAACATAATAATCTCTGGATGACTAATTGAGCAAATTGGCACCGGGTCAACAAGATGAGAGAGGTAAATGGATGGCTCAAAGATTGATGTGGGAGAAATGGGTTTGAATTCATGAGACATTGGTGCCAGCACTGGGGAAAGAGGGAGCAGTTCCACTGGGACAGGCTCTACCTGAATCACGCTGGGACTAGAGTCCTGGTGAATCATATAACTAAGGCTGTAGACAGGGCTTTAAACTACATAGTGGGGTTGGGGATCATTAACAGTTCATAGACTAAAGGTAAAAATTGCTTTACTCTGCAAATAAAAGGCTTGGTTGGTTGGTACAAGGAGGTAAGTTACTCATTGGGTGGTGGCTGAATAGAGAAACACAGGGTGGCAGAGAGGGTATGAGATGGCATGGGTTGACGTGGCTGGGTGAGGGGTTATGAGTGGTGACGGCTGGAGGAACTCTCTTGGTTACATTATTTTCTTTTTCTTAACAGGCTGTCCAGAGCCAGTGAGGAGGCAGGTCCTACAGCAAGCTTGCATTGTATGCAGTTAGCTTAGCTCTCCTTCCAGGTTTCCTCAGCCCACCTTTCAAAGACTCCCAACATCCCGGAACTGAGATCCAGCCTCTTGAGCTTATCCATCCTGGGTCGGTTTTGTGGGATCAGGAAATGTCTTTGTGCCCCTGATTTATAAGTGAAAGAGGAGAGGGGGGTGCAAATTGTGTTTCACATCTGTCGCTATTTATGACAAGTTGGCTTGTTTTAGAGGAGAGCTTATGTTGAAATCTGGATATAAAGACAGACTTGGTTCAGGAAATCCCAAGGGAAACTTTTTTTTTTACCCAAAACATAAATTTCTCTTTTCAAAGTACAAGCTCCTTCTTTGCTGAATTGATAGGAATCAAAGTATGAATGGGTCTATTTGACTTTGTTGTGAATGGGAAAGGGGAGGCTTAAAGTTGTCACTCATGGGTCAGTGCACATGTTGGGATTTCTAATCTTATTCGGAGCTGAATTTGTGCAGCTGATGTTTTGAATGGCGAAGGATATCTGAATTGAAAAAATGCTGTTTACTGTTCAATAAGGAATGTGCGTTTGGGAAAATGGATGGTCATTCTTTGGAGCTATTCAGTTGGAAAAGTTTGACTTCTGCAGAATGGCTTCCAGGGATTTCTGATCACTTATGTCCGGCGATGCTTTTTCTTAATTATATCACTCAAGTTTTTCTAGACGTTCACAGTCAAGACGTTTAATGATTCCAGCCGACATTAATTTATCCTTTTTCTAGTTGGTGATCTAGGGACAGACAATAAATGCTGACCAGCCAGCAATATGCATGTGTCTTAGCCATAGGTTAACCTTGCATTGAATACTTCCGTTCACCTTTACAATGTGTGACACCATTGCCCCACATTACCATTGTGGATGCATTTGAATGCTTTAACTTCAAAGATAATTTTTGCACTGTTGTGGTAATCTCTCACAGAATCCCCACAGTGTGGAAGCAGATCATTTGACTCATCGAGTCCATACCAACCCTCCAAAGACCATCTTACCCAGACCCACCCCCCCCCCCCCCACCCATCCTATCCCTGGAATCCTGCAGTTCCCATGGCCAATCCACCTAACCTGCACACTGTTGGACTGTGGGAGGGAACCATTGCAAACCCATGCAGACACAGACAGTCACCCAAGGGTGGAATTGAACCCAAGTCCCTGGCACCGTGAGCCAGCAGTCCTAACCTAACCACTGAGCCACCATGCTACCCTGGTGAAAATTCTATGTAAAGTCAACTTTTTCTCTCACTGGGTCATGAAAATAAAATTAATTATTGGCAAACTGATAGAAACTGAGAGTAGGAATAAATGGGCCATTCTCGCATTGACAAACTGAGACTAGAGGGTACCACAAGGATCTGGACTTGGGCCCCAGCTGTTCACAATGTATGTTCCTGATTTGGATGCGGGGACCAAATGTAACATTTCCAAATTTGTGGATCAGACAGTTAATCAGGAATATGTGTAAACACAATACTGCAGATGCTGGAAATCTTAACCAAACACAGAGAATACTGGAGAAACTCAGCAGCTCTGGCAGCATCTGTGGAGAGAGAAACAGAGTTAGTGTTTTAAGTCTGGTATGACTCTTATTGTGATAAATGCATAAAGGAGGATTTGAATGGGCGTTGTGATTGGACAAGAACATGGCAGATGGAATATAATGTGGAAAAACGTGAGGTAAATGTACAGAGTGTTTCTTAAATGGTGAGAGAGTGGGAAGCATAGATGTGCAAAGGCACTTGTGTGTCATTGTCAATGAGTCACTGAAGGTTTAAATGGAGATGCAGCAAGCTATTAAAAAGACTAATGGACTAGTCAATATCGATTACATTCTCCCTGACAGCAGGACACTCCAGGTTGTGTCTTCTAAGTGTCTTCAGAAGCCAACACTAAAATATATGGGGAGTTGTGGAGATTCAGAAAGGAATGTGTAAACCACAAGTGTTGTGAAAATACTGAGAAATCTCAGTTCGTGAAATTTATGAAAAAACCTTCTTTCTGTGTTCACTACAGTGGAGAAGTTTCTGTTTGAAAATTCAGGCAGGACACCGTTAATAATTTTGAGCTGATGTAAATTATAGTTGAGGGTGTTAAGAAGCTTTGCACTGACGTCAGGCTCACTTCCTTATTTGCTTTCATCACCAATCAATCACATAATAAGCAAAGTCAGGGGCATTTTGACAGGCTCTGTTCACAGTTCGAGGAAGAAGTTTCCTGACTAACAACTACGTGGTTGGGACCTTTTAAGTTAAATCTGACGAAGGAAGTTGAAATAACTCCACAGAGGCTCGTCTGCCTTCAGCAAGTCACTCTTTATTTATATGTGGAGAGTCCTTGACACTGATCCAGCTCCCTCAGAACCAGCTCTCAGAGTGACCAGAACCTCTAACACTCCTGCTTATATCTGTCAGCTAGGGCTCCCTGATTTGACTGGGTTAACAGCCCCAGTCAGGGAACTCATATTCTATGAAGTTCACCTGGCTGACCTCATTCCAATCAGTACAGAGGTATACCTTTTAATTATTTGTCTGTGAAGACATGTTGGCAGTCAGGCACTGCATCTCACTTTGCATGAGTTTTGATGAACGTTTCTGTAATGTACTGTCATTAGTTGCATTTATTATAAAAAATAAGCAGCTGAAGTATCCACATATGAAATTTAAATTTGTTGCTATACTAGGTGCTGTTCTTGGGATCTCTACCCTTTTGCTCAATGACTTCATTTCTGGAATGTCTGAATCCTGAAGCTCTGCTCAATGGACTATTCAGTGGTTTCAAATTTTTGTTCACAGATTTAACATTGAACTGGAGCATATAGCCCAGTGGAACTTGAGCTAGTTTTCTTTTTGTATTCACTTGTGGAATGTGGGCATTTGGCTGCAAATATGATATGACATGCCACAAGAAGAGCAGCACTTTCTTCCTGAATTTCCTACTTTTGCAGCTTGCAAATTTACCTGGGCTTCATATCTGAAACAATTTCCTATACTAAATCTTCACTTTCTTCGTATATTTTGTATTGGTTCCTGGGATGTGGGTGCCATGGTCTCGGCTGATATTTATTGCCCTATTCCTATTGCCCTGGAGAAGTTGGTGATGAGCTCCTAATGAGGTGATGGCCTAGTGGTATTGTTGCTGAATTGTTAATCCAGAGACCCAGGTAATGTTCTGGGGAAAACCAAAAGAACTGCGGATGCTGTAAATCAGGAATAAAAACAGAAGTTGCTGGAAAAGCTCAGCAGGTCTGGCAGCATCTGTGAAGCGAAAATCAGAGTTAATGTTTCGGGTCCGGCGACACTTCCTCAGAACGGCCCTGAGGAAGTGTCGCTGGACCCGAAACATTAACTCTGGTTTTCTCTTCACAGATGCTGCCAGACATGCTGAGCTTTTCCAGCAACTTCTGTTTTTGTTCCTAACATTCTGGGGACCTGGGTTCGAATCCTGCCATGGCAGATAATGGAATTTTAGTTCAATAAAAATCTGGAATTAAGAGTATAATGATGACTATAAATCCATTGTCGGAAAAAAAACCCATCTGGTTCACTCATGTCCTTTAGGGAAGGAAAGTGCCATCTTTATCTGCACTGGCCTACATGTGACTCCAGACCCACAGCAATGCAGTTGACTCAATCTCAAACAGGGATAAGCAATAAATGCTGGTGAGCAACACCCTCATCCCATGAATGAATACAAAAAAAAACTTGCTCCTTCAGAATTCATTTCCACTCCAGTTTATTTCTCATCAAAGTCTCCTCCAGGTACCTCAGTTCCCTGTCACAACTTCAATAATATTTTTGAACGACCTTACTTCTGGGATCCCCAGGAATCTGTGCTCGGCGAGGTGTATGGGAAGGTTATGTTTTGCATTGATGGAGCAGTTGTGAATTATTTTTGTTTTCCCCAGTGCCAGATTGTTTTACCTCTGGTTAGAATTTTATCAGTGTCGATTGTGTTTCAGTCTGTCACAAACTGTATCTCTGGTGCTGCAGGTAATTCAAATAGTCATTCTGACACCGTTCTGGTAGCTTAATGAGGTTTAATACAATCACATAGTTGTCCTGCACACTGCCAAAACTTTTCTAATTACTCAATTACATGCTGTCTCTCATTCTGTTGGCAGTAGGGCATTTTGAATAATCGATTTGTAAGCTATATGGTGGCAGTGGTCATGGTGCATAAAAACAAGGTAATTAAAGTGCAAAGCCATTCTCCAGCTAATACAGAGGAGCTTGGGCAAAGTAAAACGGTGCTCAGACTAGAGTTGAAGCTTTCACCTTTAGCGTAAGGCTAGTAGCAACTAAAAGACAGATGAATCTGCGAGACATTTAGGATGTAAAGGAGTGGTTAGCAGTTATCTTGATTGAAACAAAACAAGGCTGAGCACACCATGTTTATTATATTGTAATATTGCTCCATAAAATATAGGAGCAAAGATAGGCCATTCAGCCCATCTCACTCAACAAGATCAAGGCTGATCTGATAATCCAGAAATCCACTTTCCTGTCTTTTTTCCCCATAACCCTTGATTCCCTTACTAAGTAAAAAAAAAATCTGTCAACCTCAGCCTTGAATATTCTTACCAACCCAATGTTTACAGTAAAGAATTTCAGACTTATTACTCTCCGAGGAGGAAGAAAGGAACCTCCTCTTAAATGGGCAGTCCCTTATTCTGTGCTTATATCCTTTGGTCCAAAGCTCTCCCACCAGGGAAGCAACCTCTCTGTATCTATCCTGTCAAGCCCCTTCAGCCTAAGAATATTGTATGTTTCAATGAGGTCACCTCTCATTCTTCTAAATTTAACCTGCTCAACTTTGCATAGAATCATAGAGCCATACAGCGCAGAAACAGACCCTTTGAGGGGAGGCAAAGTAGATATAGAAGGGATGTTTCCTGTTGAGAGGCAATCTCAAATGACGGGTTGTAGTTTTAGGATAACGGGTAGCAGATTTAAAACGAACGTTTGTGAAGCTGTGGAAGTCACTACCCTACAGCGCAAGACCATTGAGCAAATTTAAGGAGAAGGTAGACAGATTTTTAATTAGTCATGGGTTAAATGGCTGTTGAGACTGGGTCAGAAAGTGGAGTTGAGGCCGAGATGAGATCAACCGTGATTGTATCCAATGGTGGAGCAGGCTCGAGGGGCTGAATGGTCTACTCTTGCTCCTAGTTCTTTAAGATTTTTACTGTAACATGAAAACTAACATCAACTTGCATCAAATATTACTTAGCAGGCAAATAACACATCAATCTAAAGCAAAAGTACTTTTGTATTAACTACCTAATGCAATCAAGATCCATTTTACTGCTTTCAGTAGCAAAGTCAAAAGGTTAACTCTGTTTGTGTGTCCACAGGTACTGCCAGACCTGCTGAGTTTGCTGTGCTGTTTTTATTACAACTCTTTTTCTGTGTGCTGTTCTTCTGACAGTTATGTAGGATTACAAGAAACTAGTCCAAAATTACACCCAGCTCTTCAGGCCAAGTTAAAACTACATTAAAACTCTCTTTCAAAAAGCAGATGTCTTGGGTGTGAAAGCTTTCACTTGATCTTTCAATAGCTTTCTGCTTGACCTTCTTCCTCAATGTCAACCAGATCATGTAAGCCTGTCTCCAATCAGAGCTGTCTAATATGTCATCACAATCTCACTTCCCAGAACATTTTGTTCCACCTTTAGTTAAAGGAGACATTTTAAACTATAAATCTTGTTATGAAGTCTGAGCTTTACAGTATTTGCAAATACGCAGAGTGCTGAAGTCAGTGTTGTATGAGCCTTTCCTGAGCCATTGTTCAAGGAGATATGGTTAATGTCCATCACTGACCAATGGAATGTTGAGACAAATACATTGAGTGAAGATCCTTTTAGCTCGCTGCCTGTTTCCACTTGGATTTTGCTCTTCACATTATCATTCTGTAGACCTTTAATAAATTCCTGAAGAGGGGCTAGATCTGAGTGGTTTGGAAAATAAACATTTTAGGAAAAAGCAGATGTAATGTGCCGTCCTCAAATCCATTCTTCTCTGGAAATAACTTCAAACCCATTATCACAAAATTCTCTTTATCCTCCACCAACAGATCCAGTTGTTCTGTATTTCAATGAAACTCTCTGAAAATCCATCCCATTGCCCTTGGTGTGAAATGGTTCTATTTGATCTTTCATTTTGCATGGATTTTTCAACTTTTACTGAGTTTGCAAGAGGTTGGAGTGTTTCAACAGGGTGTGGGTGGGTAGTTTAATGATGGTAAGGTTTATTGATTGAATTCAACTGTCAATGTTGAATTGGCGGTGAATGGGATTTAGAACAAAGAGGGAGTAAGGGGACTTGTGGTAGAAGAGGCTGAAATGTGCAGCATGCTCTGTTTGATTCCTGAATATGTTGAATGTATTGTTACTGAAGTTCTTTCTTTTCCTTTGGCAGAGGCTTTTATATCCTTGATTCACATTGCCAGCAATCACACCAACTTCATGTTCAAGACAGGGTACAGGACAATGGCAGAGGAGGCTACAGAGGTGGTGAAGGGGCTATTTACTGACATATCACTCTATGTCCTGGATACAAGCTGGAGCATTGAGGACATAGTCCTGGGTTTCTTTGACAGCCTTTTCCCTTTGGTTTACAATCGGCTGATACACCCTGGACTAAGTGAGGTCTCTCTGGATTATTTAGAGTGCCTACGGTCGGCCAGGCAGGATATTAACCCCTTTGGAACCTACCCTATGAAGATGGTAACTGAGATTGCAGAACCTCTGCAGGCAATGAAGATTCTCCTCCAAGTCCTGAACGTAGGCAGCGAGGTGATAAATATGACCAAGAACATTGTTCTCACCCGGGAGTGTACCAGAGCCCTAGTGAAGATGCAATATTGCTCTCACTGCCATGGCCTTACTCTGATCAAACCTTGTGGTGCCTATTGTCTTAATGTGATGCGGGGATGCCTGGCCAATGTCGCCGATGTTGACCCTCACTGGCAGGCCTACATTTCGAACCTAAACGAGCTGACCGGGATCATTACAGGACCACAAGGTGTGGAGCGTGCTCTACTGGGAGTGGCGCCACTGGTTAATGAAGCTATTTTGCATGCTCAGCTGAATGGACCCGAGATTTCTACTACAGTAAGTAAAGATATATTACTGTGTGTTAATGGCAATGTTTGGACACTTCCAGGGGTTTGTCTGAGGACTGCTTTCCAGGCAGGTGTGATAGAATTAATTTTCCCCCTTTTTCTGAGTGTATATTTCCCTTGCAAAATGGCATCTCTGTTTGAGCCCCATTCTTATTGTCGCTGCTGCCTGTCTTTCTGTGTCACTGTGCTTTTATCTGTATGTGTGTGGTTGCAAAAGTACACTACCTTTCTCTCTACCTGAGTAACTATCTTATTCTTGCTTTTTTGTGCACCTCTGTCTAATGCTTTTTCTGCTCATTTCTTTATCTTTCACTATCCATTCTCTTTATTTATTCTCATCTTTGTGTGTCTCTTCTGTCAGTCTCGCTGTTGATTGTCTGTCTGTCTCTCCTGCCTTTTCCTTCTTCCTTTCACACTAACTCAGTGTCTCTCTCTCTCTGTCTCTCTCTGCTTGTCTCTCTGTGTTCCTCTGTCTTTCCCTCTCTCTCTCTCTCTCACACTTACTCTCTCACATGAGCCTTCTCTTCTTTTTCCATCTCTTTTTGCTTCCTATCCATTTCAATAAATGTTTCTGTAGACATAAGCTCCTCAGCGCACAATAACCAGCCTGGCTCTTGGACATATAAACCACACAGAGTGGGTGATTGTTTGAAAGTGTTTAAGAATTTCTTTGTTGAGTTGTCAGGATTTGAAACAATGAGAGGTCTAACTCATTGATGTCAATTGTGACTTGCCTGGCAGTGGTCCCACTCCTGAGATGTGAGTACAAACTCTTGGCTGATGCTCTCAGTACAAGACTGAGATGATCAGAGATCCCACAAATAGAGGCACAGTTTGTCCTCTCTGCTGGGTGTCTATATCTCATCACACTACATCAAAGAAGAGGACAGGAAGTTGCCTCATTGTACTAAGCAACATTTGCCCCTCATTAAAAACAGATTAACTGCTTGTTACCATTCTGCTATGTGTAAGCTTTGTTGTGTCTTCAGTATACCCAAAAAGCACTCAGAATCCCTACAGTTTGGAAAGAAGCCATTCAGCCCATACTAACCTGCTAAAGGGCACCCCACCAGACCCACTGTCTTACTCTATCCCTGTAGTTTCAATAAAAAAATAAAAGAACTGCGGATGCTTTAAATCAGGAACAAAAACTGTTGCTGGAAAAGCTCAGCAGGTCTGGCAGCATCTGTGAAGGAAAAAACAGAGTTAACGTTTCTGAGGAAGAACTGAAAAAGGGTCACTGGACCTGAAACATTAACTCTGTTTTTCCCTTCACAGATGCTGCCAGACCTGCTGAGCTTCTTTGTTTTTGTCCCTGCATTTCCCATGGCTAACCCACCTAGCCTGCATATCCCAGGACTCTATGGGCAATTTAGCATGGACCATCCACCCTAACCTACACATCTTTAGACAGTGGGAGGAAACCCAAGCAGATACAGGGAGAATGTGCAAACACCACACAGTCTGTTACCCATGGGTGGAATTGAACCCAGGTCTCCAGTGCTGTGAGGCAGCAGTGCTAACCGCTGAGCCACCATGCTGCCCTCAGGTAGCTGTGAAGCACTGTGAAAGATGTCCTGAGATCATGGAAAGAGTGACCTAAAAGCCTATTTTTTCTTTCTTCCTTCCATGACATTAAGTAAGTGGAACAAATGATCAGCTGAGATCTCTGCTCTCGGTTGCTATCCAATGCTGTCTGCCTCCAGTTGTCCAGGTGTCGACCTTAAAAGAGGGCTGCTCCTGCCCCAACATCTCCAGCTGCCCAGTCTGTCGACCTTCACAGAGCGGGGTAATGCGGGAGAATTAGCCACTTGGACGAGATTGCAGAATGAATGCAGAGTTGCCCTGCAGCCTTCAAGAGAGGAGTGGATGGAGCAGAATGAGTAGGACAGACAGCCACGCACAAAGTACCCCACTCGAAAGGAGAATTCTTGTTGCCCATAATGATATCAAAACAAAAGGGCTTTGGGGTATGGTTTGAAATGGGCAGAGAGATGGAGAGAATGTGCGAAACCTCCAGCAGTGCTGACAAACAGCTTCAGCAATGAGCGCTCCAGTGCAATCAACAGCTGTGCCTATAAACATGAGCGGCATGGTAAGAATTGAACAGCAGACAGGAAATCAAACTACTTCAGCAGGCCAACTTAACTCTCCTTCCTTTTTGTGGCTTTAACTAACCCGGGTTTTACTCCTTTGGGGAGAGATTCCTGACAGGAATGTTTGAGCTGAAATCACATGCAAAACGAGTAAATAAATAAATGAGAAGGACAGCCAAGGTGATTTGGAAAAAATGACTGTTTGTGGGAACTTTTCCACAAAAATCAGCAAAAGAAAATGTGAGAAGCCCCATTCTACCCAACGTGAAGGACGATGCCAGAACTCTGTGTGAGTGTGCTGGATAGCAGCCGTTGAGTTCTGTTATCAAAGCAGGGTCTGAGCAATTTTGTTTTGGTTATTTTGGCAGCTCTCCGAGTTTGTGCTTGTGGCTCTCAAAGCTGACTGGCTGCCGCAGGGAATGTTGGATGCTTGAGAGGGCGGTAGGCCTGGCCCACTGCAGTGACGTGGAGAAGACCCGAGATTTGTTTCCGGCCCAGCTTGACCCTGAACCGTAGCATCATAGAATCCCTGCAGTGTGGAAGCAGGCCATTCGGCCCATTGAGTCCACACCAACCCTCCAAAAAGCATCCCACCCAGACCTACCCCATCCCTGTAACCCTCCATTCCCATGGCTAACCCGCCTAGCCTGCACATCCCTGAACACTACGGGGAACTTGGCAAGGTCAATCCACCCTAACCTGCACATCTTCGGACTGTGGGAGGAAACCAGAGTTCCAGGAGGATGCTTTTATAACATTTTGTAGCCTCCGCCATCATCCCTCTCAGGTTTTCAAAATACAGGGGCAGATCTGGTGGTAGTTTGGGGTAGGGGAGGGACTTTGGTGGGCGGGTGGGGAGAGACCTATTGGTGAGAGATGAAATAGTAACACCATCCCTCCATCATGCCTCCTGACGGCAGACCTTTCTAGCTGTTGGACCCAGTGTTCATTTGACTAGCACCGCTGGCTGGATGGAGCATTATGCACTGAACACTGTTGTTGCCTTAAAGTGTGGCATCATCAATTCGTGAAGAATTGTTTCAATCATAGCAGCATAGAATACGCCACCATTCAGTATGGTCATGTCTGATCATCTACTCAGTACCCTGTTCCCACTTTCTCCCATTATCCTTTGATCCTATTTGTCTTAAGAACTATACCTACATCTTTCATGAAAGTCTTCAATGGTTTGGCCTCAGCAGTGTCCCTTGGCAGAGAATTCCAATTGTACCATGAGGAGCGCGGTAGGCTATGTGCAAGCCTCCAACCTCCCTGAAGGGACCTGAATGCTCCATTTGGAATCTGTCCCAAAGCTAATGACTGTTCCCAACAGATGGTCCCTGTCAGCTGTGAGGGCTGTGGTTGTATTGTCATTATGGCACAGAAAGAGACCATACTGCCCAACATGTATTTCCTCTCTTTCCCTGCTCCCAGAAAGGGCAGTGTCAGTTTTGACTATGACCTCACGTATTTTCTTGCCCCTTCTACTGGTTCAATACTGGCATTTAGTCTCTCAGGTGTGGGTAGCTACCGGTCCATCCTTCATGTTCACATGACAACTAATCAACTGAGAGAGAATTCGCCACTTTTGACTCTTACTAAGCATGTTACTTTCTTTCATGCTCCCATTCCAGGTCCACGCTGTAACGGGCAGGAGTAGGAACCTTACTGCATTTTTAATTTTCTTCCCGTCTCAAAGCCACTGAGAGCAATTACAGTGTCTCAACTGAAATAAGAGTTGAATACAGCACTCAGCGCTTCCTAGCTTCTGAGGGTCAGTGCTCTACACTGAGGCACAGTCAGAACTATTCATCCAGCCACAAACTAGTTGCTGATACTACAATTATGAAACTGACACAGCTTGTTTTCTTGATAATAGATTTATTCACAGAATGCAGCATTGTATAGGTCTCCTTCCTACTTACCAGCGCAATGTCCCATCAGTCAGTTTTTATAAGTGCACTAAGTACTGAATTAAATAATGCTCTTTCCTGTGTATCTGAGTACAGTTAACATATTATGAATGTGAACAAGGTTTTGAGGAGCATTTTAAAGGAAGAGTGAGAAGTGGAAAGGATTGGGGAAGGAATTCCATGCCTGGAAGAAAGTCTGTGGTTCACTAGTCATGGTGATGATACCAGAGGAGCTTTCATCTCCTTTACCAATGTGACCTTCATAGCTTCCATTGGATATGATGCTGAACTTTCTACAGTCATAGAGTCGTACAGCACAGATACAAACCCTTCGATCCAACCACCCCACGCAGAACATAATCCCAAACTGAACTAGTCCCACCTGCCTGTGTTTGGCCCATATCCCTCCAACCTTTCCTATTCATGTACTTATTTCAGTGTCTTTTAAATATTGTAAGTTTCAGTGATAAACTCAGGTGGAAACAGTTTGAAGCCAGATTGAATCGCCATTAAAACATAACAAGACTTGGATTTAACTTCCACCTTTCGCAACCTCAGGACATCTCAAAACACTGAATGGGTAATTGGGTACTTTTAAAGTATGGCCATTATTGCAATGAAAGAAATATGGCAGAATAAAGCAAGCAGCAATCTCCCACACTGTAATAAATGGCCAGATAAAGTTAATAAGTATTAACCAGGACACCAAGGCGAATTCTCCTGCTTTTCCTTGAATGGTGCCACATGATGGCCTGCATTTTCCTGAGATGGCAGACAGATATTGGTTTAAAATCACATTTGAAAAACAGCCCCAACAGTTCAACACTCCCTCAGCACAAACACTACCATGTCAGCCTGGATTCCACTCTGAAGCCTCTGGACTGGAATTTGAACCCAAACCTGTTGAACTCGCTGCCCTTTGAGTAATGGCTGACCTAGAGGCTAGTTATGCTCTGGCCTGGATAGAGGAAGTCTATTCC